TCAGACAAAATAATCTGTGAGCTTTTTCAATTATAAAACTCTTTTGATCACATTTTTTTGACTTTTCCAAGGGTCAGGAGACTTTCTGTCTGAAACATCTTCTACTGTGTAATGATGGGGTGGTTGGATTTTTTTGAGCAAGTCATCCTAGCAGAGTTGATCCTGCAGCTCTCTCATGATTACTCATCCAGGTTGACCCTAGTTTGAAGGCTCCTCCTCCAGGAACTGACCTGAGCAATGCTCAGACAAGTGATGTAAAGTTGAATTCAGGATGTATACATAAATCAGATCTACCTCTTCCTACCTGCTTCTGTCACCGTTATCAACTTTGCTACCAGATTCTGCCTCTTAATTGAACTTAATCACTTGCTGTGATTTTACAGGATATGAAGTAAAACAGCACAGAGGTTTTCAAAAGAATTTTATCTTCAGATTCCCCTAAACACACAAGTAGAAAGTCTTTATGCTATTCATATGAGCACATAAAAAGTTATAAGCCTGGGTGTACACAAATAGCACCCATGTATTTTGAAATGTTATTTTTTATATAAGCTTTAAAATTAGGAATTAGTTGGTTTATTCTAAGTATCACTCAGTTGTGCAGAAAATCACAGGAATAGATGCAGCTATGATGGAAGATCCACAGGCAAATTCTTGAACATGGGATAAAAAGGGTAAAAGCCTTTTTGTTTATGTGTTCACATGCTGTTTTCATCATCAGTGGTGGAACCTGGTGTCCATTAATGCCTCTGTGATGTTTATATTCCTGTTTCTCCAAGTCAGAGTTGACTGGAAAAACATGATCTATTAAAATACTTTGAAAATAAAGATTTGTTAAGCAAAAAATAACTTCTAGTCTTCCTTCTCTCCTTTAGTCTTCCTTCTTTCCTTTTTGAGTACTACAAATACATCTCCAAAGTATCAAGATCCTGGAAAGTGTCAGTACACTGGTCATAGAGTGCAACTTGTCTCAGAAGGAAGTTTGTATGATCAAATATGAGATCAGAGGAACAATTCTGCAACTGTATACGACCCAAAATGTCCACAAATGAATTAACATTAAGTACTGCAATATTTTAGAACAAATAGATTAAAAAAAGGCACACAAAAGCCTCAGGTGGCTGCAGTCCCCACAGCAGCAGCAATGTTGAGTTAGGAAGCAGAATGTGAGCCCACATTTTGAGCAGTGAGAGTGAGGGAGAAGAGGAAGGGCACAGAATGCACTAGAAGAACTATGGTAACAGGATGAATCTCAGACCTCTTGGAAAACAGAGTTTTCCAGCCCTTTCTCTACTCCTCACCTTTTAGGCTAGGGAAGTGCTGCCAATTTGTGCCTTGTGCTGACCCACCAGCTACTTGACCTCTATTCTTTCAAGAGAAGGGATGGTGCCACATCTTTCTTTGCCTTACCCAGCTATGGATCTGCATAAAGTTTGCTGGAACTTCTTATCTTTCAGACTTCAGTTGCTCTAGCAAATTGGGTTAATGGATTCAAAAGTTACCAGGAGGTGGAGGTGACAGGTTGGAACGTGGACAGACTATGTAATTGCACATGGTTTTTCCAATGAAAACCAGGCTGAAGAACCAAAGTACATCTATGGAGTGAAGGGACACGTCCTGAATCAAGCTCAGCTGTAACAGAAATGTCACTTCTCTGCTTGCACCTTCTTTAGAAGGTACTAACCAGTCCATTTTCCATCCCAGAGGAGGTTGGCTGGGGCTCTGAGCACCCTGCCCTAGCTGCAGATGTCCCTGTCCCTGTAAGGGAGTTAGACTGAATGACCTTTAAAGGTCCCTTCCAACCAAAACTATCCCATGATTCTATGAATTCTATTATATCTTTTGTCACTTTTCAGGAATGGGCAAGAAAATGCCACTTCTTTTTTCAGCTGGATGGGTTTCTCTAGACTGTGAAAGATGAACCACTGAGCAGATGCTGCCAGCAAGGACAGAGAGAGGAGCTGCTGGCTTCCCAGTGGGATAAGGGGCGTGTGGCAGTGGAGGTGTGTGCTCAAGCTCACAGCAAGCTGTGCTTTATTCAGAATGGCACCACAGCTCTTGGCACATGTGTGGTAACCACATGGAAACCATGGCATGGGAGGAAGATTGTGGGAGGGAGGCTGTAAAGGATAGCAAGAACTAAAAAAAAATCCCTCTGCAAAACCAGGAAAATGAATTTGTCTTATGTAAAGGAGTCAGGACACAGTTGTGCTGTTCAAAAGTTATTCCTTATATAAAAAGAAACACTGGTAATAATGAAACCCTTTCTCAGAAGAGTAGGAACACGAGCAATGGTAGGTCGGTAGGTGGGAGGAGCAGCGTGGGTTGTGAGACCAATATTAGACTTGAAGTACTCGGAGAGGAAAAGTCCCACGAGAGGAAAAATCCCTTGAAAACCAACAGGGAAAGCAGAAGGGAACATGTTTTTAAGTTGTTTGCTCTGCCAAAGATGAATGTGAAGCCAGCTTGAGACTGCCCGCAGAAAACAGAGAAGAGCAGCAGAAAGAAGTGATGAAGATCCCTGAAAGCTGCCACTGTGGAAACGCCTTTTTTGCAAAGTGCCTTCTTCTTCACTGGCATTAAAAACATTATTAAAGGGGTGGAATAGCACTTAGCTTCAAGGTGCTCATAACGCCTTGCAAGGTCAGCTAGACAGTCCACCAGTGTCCACAAAAGGCTGCCTGCTGACTCGTGCCTCTTGGCTCATTTCCACAATGCTCTTATTCAGGTGCAAATTGAGCTCAACTCACCAGTAAGCCGAGGAAATAACTTGTTATCACACAGGACACAATTGCCCTAATTCAGTCGCTGGCTGACGCACCAGCAAAACTCCACCACAACTGGCAGAGTCATCAGGGTAGCCCTGGGATGAGCAATGTCATGGTCAAGGTCAAGTCCTGCTACTAAGAAAGGATGAAGAAGTCTGCAAAAAAGACCTTCTGCTTAACAGAAGACCTCATCCCAGAGTAAGCACCTGGCCAGTCCTCACAACCCCCCCTAAATTATCACACTCAGCAGAAAGGAGTGAAAGCAATGCCTAATTATGTGTTATACAGTTTGTCTCTGCAAGTGGAAAGGTTACCTAGGAAGAGATGCTTCTATGAGGTATCACCTTAGAGTAAAACAAACAATTCTACTTCATCCCAATTTATGCTGAAAAGTCATTGAGAAAGAAAAGCTATTTAATGTTTTGTCCTTTTTCTTGTTTTGCTATCATTCACTCCTTCCCCCTTCCTTCTTCTCCCCTGTGGTTTACACCCTGCACTTCTGCATGGCTCCTAAACTTCCACGAATTTTATGGAGTGGAACTCAAAATTAAGCCTTCCCAAACAGGATGGGGTTAAAACTTAAATGAAGTGTTTTTACAAGCACTCTGCTCTATGCCAATGACTCAACCCAGAGGCTTTTTGCCTGAAGATCTAACACACTCTGAGGGTGATACCCAGGACTTCTTGTTTTTAATAATTCCATATTCTTTTGCAAATCTTGCATTTAGAGAGAAGAGGAATGACCAAGAGCAAACGTGGCCCCACTGACTTATTGTGCTTCACATAGATATTACAGAACTGTGGGATATTTGTGTCTAAAGTCTCAAAAAGAATCAGCTCTGTGCCTGACAACGTGTCCACGCATAGAGCAGGGCTTGGTGGAGCTTGGGGTGGTACATAACATTCACGTTCACCTTGCAGAGGCTACAAAACCTATCTCAAAGGAGAAGTTTTGGCTCACGGAAGGATGTGGTGAAGTCTGATGGATGATGAGAGGAATCACTGGATCTCCAGAGCCAGCTTAGGAAAAATCCCTGCAGAAAATGAGCTGCTTTCTGCTGTGGACAGGAATGGAAAGACAAAGCAGCAGCAATTCCTGGCTTCCCCTGAGACAACGTCAGGCAGGCTGCCACGGGGAGCTGCAACAAGCAGGTTTGTGTCTTCTGGTCTACTCATCACTGGTGTCAAGAGCATGACATTCTTAACAAGGATCAAACACTTTTCTCTCAAGTCTATTTTTCAGATATGGTCTCTGGGAGAAAAAAAAACTGGGGTAGAAGAGGACGAGGAAGGAGAGGAAATTAATGAGGGAAGTGCAGGAGGAGTCTTGTCTCTAATCATGGATGCTAGAAGAGATATAGCTCTTTTTTTTTCTTTCCCCATTTTAAAGCTACAGCCTCAGGCAAGTTATACTGAAATTAGGTTATTTTTGGTTCAGTGAACTATGGTTCACTATTACAGCTACAAATTTTGCAGAAGACAGACAGAAACAATTGTTGATTTAAATCCACACTATTTTTTTTTACGGATTTAATTTATTGTTTTGCTGTAGGGGACCCCTCCATTTTAGAATCATTTAAAATAAAACACTAATACCGAAATTGCCCAATTGCGCCGTTTTCGTGAGAATTTGGGTGGCTCTTTTAAAAGGCCCAGATAAAAGAAAATCACAAAGTGGCACTAAAACCCCATAAATTCATCCTTCCTCTTGACCGATGCTTTCATAAACAATTTTAAGAACTTCAGGTTTTGCTACATCTCTCCACAAAACAATTCTGCAGTGACCTGTGGAACTCTGCAGAGCAATTTTGCAGCAGAACGCTGAGTGAACCCACGAGTGGAAACCATGGATTTGTCTATTTTCAGACAGTCCTTTTTAATGAAACATCAGGTGCTCTCTGATGAGTTGTGGGGACTCACTTGGGGCTCGCTGCACGTATTGGGTGTATGCAAACACCCAACTATGCAAATCCTTTGCAGCCCAACGCTATAATTCAGCAAAGCATTTAAAGAACAGACCTATTGCACAACGCCAGCAGGCTGAAATACTTTTGCAAATTCCAAGTGCAGAGAGCAGGGTCCCTTTTCAGAATAACATCGAAATACATTCCCAAATCCAGAAAAAAAACCCCAACTAAACCCAAGCATGACCGAACCACTTGGTTAAATGCTTCCCTAGAAGAGTAGGAAGAAGAGAAGCTCTCGGCATGAGGTGGTAACCCAGGGGCTTACTTGAGGGTGGTGAGCTCGGTGAGGGACGGCTGGGTGGCCTTGAGATAGCTCTCTCTCCTCGCAGCAATCTTGGGGGAGGGCTTGGGGCTGGTGTCCGAGTCGCCGCTGTCCTCGTCCCCCATGGCCTTGATGTAGCTGCCGCTGCGCATCCGCCGGCAGGGGATCTCCTCCTCCTTCCCCCGCGGGGAGAACCCGGCCCACTCGTCCTGAGGAACCTGGGGGGCAAACACAAATCCCTCGTGAGCTCGCCCACCCCCGGTGTGCTCGCAGAGCAGGGTCCGGCCGTGCTAAGCCCCAGCAGAGCCTCCCCTGAGGAACCTGGGGGGCAAACACAAACCTCTCGTGAGCTCGCCCACCCCTGGTGTGCTCGCAGAGCAGGATCCGGCCGTGCTAAGTCCCAGCAGAGCCTCTACAAACACCCCCGTGGCCGAGGGCCTGTCCTCGGGGCTGCCCTGTGCAGTGGAGGCTGTTCCTACAGCGGTCACAAGCACCTCCAGAGTTATTTTCCACCACACACCTGGGAATTTCCTACCAAACATGCTGATGCAGAAGCCTCAGTGAGGTCTCACAGCAGGCTGGGTAAATCTGAGGGGGTTTGGTGGTTTTCATTCGTAGTATTTGCAAACCAGGTCAGGGTATTTTTGGGTCAGCTCAGTATAGGAAACGGCCTCAAGTTGAACCAGGTTTAGGTTGGACATTAAGGAAAAGCTGTTCCCAGGGCTGTGCCAGGCTGCCCAGGGCAGTGGTGGAGTCCCCACCCCTGGAGGGGTTTCCAAGCTGTGGAGATGTGGGGTGAGGGACACGGGGCAGTGGGGACCTGGCAGGGCTGGGGAACGGTTGGACTTGGTGATCTAAAGGTGTCTTCCAACCAAAACTATTCTATGAGTCTCTGACACTGAACACCTCTGGGGAGGCACAAAAGATGGAGTATGAATTCCTATATCACTGTCTTCTCAGGCAGAGTGCACACAGCTACAGGCACCAGGATAATTTCGGCTCAAGATACATTTCAAATTAGTGGAGCTATGTACTAATCATCACAAAAGTGGGTTTGCAAGTGTGAAATTATACTACTATTGCCTCTGTAGCATAATTAGTGTGACTGAACACCCGCCAGCTTGCAGGATCCTCCTTTTGAATTAGGTTAGTCTGAATATCTGAGTCATACCACTTTTTATTCCCTTCTTTCTGAGGAGTCTTTCTTCTCCAGATCTGAGGTGAGTGCTGTCCATTCCCTGCACTGGGAATCTGGAATGCTGGGTGTGTGCATTCAAGAGATTTTGTGATGTAGCAGAGGTGAGTCCAAGAGCATGGTGCTCCTGCCCACCCCTCTTCTCCCTTCCTCTGTCTTGGGGATTCTGGCAATGGAAAACCAACATCCCTCTCTCTCCTGGAAGAGCAGGAACAACGTGCTGCAAGGCAGGGTCCTTGGAGGAGTTGTCCTGAGGTTGTTTTGCAGAAACCCCATTTTAAAGCAAAGGTGAAACTGCAAAAGGGCTTTTAAGGTAAATAAGTTTGGTGTTAGACTTACATAAAAGTAGTTGTGAATTTTTCATTGCTACTTTTCTGACTGTTAGTGAATCAACTGAAGCAAGCTCTGGCTACAATGCTCAGACACCCTTACAAGCCAGATTAAACAAAGAGTCTTCAGTCTGGGTTGCTAAAATTTGTCCTGCAGCTTGTGCACACTGCAGGCTGCACCCACCAGGATAATCACCAATTAATCTCTCTTTCCTGTGGGAAGTTTTACATCAACAACACTGAACTTCTGCTGAGTATCTTCTGGATCTGATGCTTCCCAAGCTTCAGCCAGAGCATTTACACGCCAGCTTGTTTAGACCACACCCACTGGAACCCTGGACTGTTTGCCAACAGCTTTGCTGCCAGTTGTCACTACACCCATCACCCCAGTGCAGAGGCTGTGAGGACCTGCAAATGGTACTCTAAATGTAGGGCAAATTTTTACGGCATTTTATCCATCTGTGCTGCTACAAACTGCAATCCCAACTCCACTGGGATACACCAAGGAGCAAAGCTATTTAGTGGTCCTAAGCATTCATGGGCTTATTAATAATTGGAAGTAATTAAACTTTTCATAAACCATGCTGTTTGCATTCAAGCTGCTGAAGAAGAGAGACCCCAGAGAAACCCCAAGACCTTGCCAACATTATTCTTTCACTGACTCTGCTTTTCCTGTTACTGATGTCATGATTTCGGGCTTTCCTTGAACTTCCAGGCTCATATAAGTCCTTCCTTCCTCTTGTGCTCAGTCTAAGCTCCCTCTTTTCTCCCAGATCTCTCTTGGTCAAGTCTGGCTTTGATAAACTCACTTGGGGCTTTGAAATTCTCCATGAAGGACTCAAGATTTAACCCTTGAAGTGTACTCCAGTTTAGAACCTTATCAATGTTTCTTCTTATGTCTCAATTTTCCTCCTTAGCTGTTCCATGTTTTATTGAACCAGTTCTTTGTGTACCTTTTAAAATTAAGTGTCCATGTTTCCTTTAAATATCCTTTAGTTAATGACTCTGGTGACTCTACTCCTCTGTAAATTCTGTAGAATTTAAATTCTTATCTTCCAACAGCACTCAAAGTTTGTTGGTGTGGCTTTTGGCTGGTGTTTTTTTTTTATTATTATTTTTTATTTATATTTTCCTGGGCTTCAAGAATATAAGTTCCTTAAGGAAGGAATATTTTTCAAAGTCCAGTTTTATTATTGAAAGAGGAATTGTGTATCTGTAGGAAGTAATTTAATAAATACACTCCTAAACACTTCAAACATTTGTCTAGAAAAGGGCAGGACTCAGCTAAGGACTGGAGTGTTACAGAGTACCAAGCACTAGCAGAACCCACTGGAGGAACAGGACTGAATATTTGGCTCTGGTCTGTTTCCAGGTCAAATAAACCAAAATAATAATAAAAAATGTTGCATTTCTGAAGCTTCAAAGTGGCCAGACCCCAGCCCTGGAAAGCTGGAGCCTTCCTGGTGTGTGCACAGTGGTGACGTGCCAGTGAAACCAGCAGCTGCTGGTGGGTTTGATTCTGGTTTTTGACACTGAGGAGCACAGAGCATTCTGCACTCCCCCTCCAGCCAGAAGATAATGGGTTTTTCTCCAGGTCTTATTTTTGTGATAGTCTGTGTCCAACCTAATATCTGCCTGAGAACTGAATCCAAGCCTGAGTACGCAGAGAATCTGTGAATTCTCAGAGGATGTGCACTTTAATCTGTTTAATATTTCACTCATTATGCTTTAGTTAAAGATTTGTGGGTTTTCTCATTAAAATAAATTACCAAATTAATCTTTAATGCACTAAATAAAACATGTTAGCATAATGTTAAGGTTGATGTCTTTAACTGAGAAAATCAGGGGAGTTAAAGTTACAATGCTTATCCAGCACCCCTGATTCAGGCAAGCTGAACACTTGTAGTTTTATTAAATAATAGATATACTCTTAAATTTAATGCTGTAATTTATAGGTTCAACACAAGTGATGAGATATCGTAGCTGTGGACACCACGACTCTGAAATTCTACAGCTCTGCCATCAAGAATCCCATACACTGGTCCAATATCTTTTATCCCAAAGCTTCTCAGAATTATTTAGGTATGAGAGACCAAGTTTTGAAAGCTGTTTGCAACCGATTTACCACAAACCTTCCTATTTACACAGGCACACACCGTGTGCCACGATGAGCTTTGAATGGTGTTGAAAAACATCTAGATTTAGACAACAGCCTAAAACTTCAACCCAGCTCTGCTTCTGATTTCAGCTGGCACGCTGAAGAAGTCACCGTGTGTGCACAAACTCTCTTGCCTGTGTAGAAAAAGCTGCAGTAGCAGAATGCAAAGGCTATTTGATAAAAAAAAGCTATTTGGCTGAAAAATTTCTCCAGTTTTCTTGCACATATTTGAGGCTGAGTGTTTTTTCTATTTTGGTTTGGTTGGTTGTGTTTGGTTTTTTTTTCTAAATTTGTTTTCTTCTTTTTTTTTAGCAAGGTTTCATTATTTAAGAGACTATTAGAGAAATAAATTTGGATCCAGTTTCCTTAATCTTCTTAAAGTTTCAGAAGAGTTAGAAGCCCTGATTTCAGAGGTTGGAGGAGGAGTAACCAGTAAGACATTGTGTAACTTGCAGAGAGCACTTGCAGGGTAAAGCAGCACTTCAGAAGTAGATTTTTGCTGTAGCTATTAACAGTTGTAATACTTTATACGAAAGGACCTTGGAGCATTGTCTGTGCACTACTTGAGCAGGACAAACAACCCTTAAAGTTCAGCATTTCTTCTCATTGTACCTATTTTGCTGTCCAGAAAAAAAAAAAACCCAGACAGATAAAATAATGTCAACATTTTAATACTTCTGTGCCCACAGACAAACACCTCAAGCAAAACCAACTAAAAGATGTGACCTGATTTTCAGAGAGCTTAAAAGGAATGCCTGTAAATGGCTGTACCAGCTCATGCAGACAATGCAATTTACTGTCACAGCAAAGTCTTTCATTTCATGGGGAAAAGGTAAAACACAAAGCCCTTTGCAAAGCTGCAAATTGGGGAAATAAAATCCATCGTGTCACTTCATGCAATCCATTGCTGTATGCAGAGTGTTGGGCATTCTGTAGCATGTTTTCTTCTGGAAAAACACTGGGAAAAGTGTCTACGTGAATCTCCAAGCTCTTTCCTTTTTTTTCAGGAGAGAGATCTGCACAAATTTCCCCCCAGGCTCTTCCTGTGTTTGGCCCACCCTGTGCCTTGCAAGGTCAGAGGCTGCACTGCACAGGAGTGTGTGCCCACGGTACCCGCTGCCTTGGAGGAGGAAGGGCACCAAGACTGACCTCCCTGCCATAAAGCTCTTTCATGCTTCTAAGAAAATCATATTATCCAATTACTATTTTTTCAGGACCAGCCTATCAGGCAGGAACATCACTTGTCTGATTGTTTTTACTCCCATTAAAAAGGGGGAAGAGCTATGCTCAGATCTAACAACGAACATCATTGCTTTTATTAGAACAGAACTATTCGCTATGCTCAGATCTAACAACGAACATCATTGCTTTTATTAGAACAGAATTCTTCTTCTTCACACTACTGAAGTAACAGAGACCCTGGAAACGTTTCATTCTGCAGATGATCTTTAAGATCATGCACAATTCTTTCCTTACAAGCCTAAAAATCAAGAGTGAGCAAAAAGCACAGTGAAACAGGACACCATCATTACTTGA